ACATTGATTCAATTTATCAATCCATCCATCAATCAATCAATCCTTGTGCTGGATTGATTGATTGATTGGTTGGTTGGTTGGTTGATTGATTGGACTAGGTCCAATCAATTAACCAACCAACCAACCAATCAATCAATCAATCCAGCACAAGGATTGATTGATTGGTGGATGGATTGATGAATTGAATCAATGAGAACTTGGACGGCGTTTCTTTTAGCTTGATTGATTGATTGATTGATTGATTGATAGGTGTTGTTGATCTCAGCCACGGTTCTTTTAGCTCACAATTTAACCCTATGGGGGGGGTTTGGGGAATCGTTGTCAATTCTTTGATTCGAAGTTTTGTTATGATCGGACTGCATCTAATCATTGAAAGTTTTGTTATGATTCATTTCGACCCCATGCGGGTGGCAAAATGCTGTAAAAATTTTGATTGATTGATTGATTGATTGATTGATTGATTGATTGATTAATTGATTGATTGACCAGCTTGATTGATTGATTGAGGGAGAGGGAGAGACGGAAAGACAGGGGAAGAGAGACAGACGCAGACTCAGAGGACTTTCGATCTGATCTCCCGTGGCCCCTTGTTGTTTGATTGGGCGGTTTTCATTGTCCATAGGATGCCTAAAGGAGGTGCAAATGCCATTAAGCGGCACTTCGTGCAAGGCGAAGTTGTGGGGGCTGCGGACAAGGGCAACTACAGATGGAAGTGCAGGTACTGCGAACATGAGGTCCCGGGCACTGCGAAGCGCTGCGCTGAGCACTTTATGTCGACGACGAAGGGGCCAAGATGTAACATGGCGAGAGTGAGCGGTAGACTGTCGGCGGAGGAGAAAGAGAAGAGAGAGTTGGGCCGACTGAGGCTATTGCTCTGGTTTTGGGAAAGCGGCAAGCGCATGAGGCTGTTGACGAATTTGATGAATGTCGTTCAGACGAGAGGATCATGGACAAGCAGGCTGTGGGGGAGGACGATGAGTGTAATAGCCCAACCTCTCCGGAGGCAAATACCCGAAAGCAACCAAACAACGTGCATTCATCCAACATCCGGGCACGACAAACCACGCTCGAAGAGGGTGGGGCAATCGTGTCAAAGAATGAGGAAGCCCAACGGTGAATTGATGATTGGTTGGTGTTTGATTGGATCTCATTCACGATGGTGCGCAGCAAGTACTTCTTGAGGATGTTGCAGAAGGTTCGTGAAGCGGAGCGGTCCTTCATCCCTGCGAAGTACGATGTGCAGCGAACGAAAAGATTAGACCTCAGTGAGGCGCGTGTGACGCAAGGAATAGCACGGCAACAAAAACGATGGGCACGCACAGGCTGCATGCTCCAACTGGACAGGTGGATTGATCGGAGAGGACGACCACCCTTGAATGTGATGGTCTCCTTTCCGACCGGTGTTGTTTTTTGGAAATCCCACTGCATGTCGGGAAAGGATAAAGGAGCGGAGGCTTACTTCAACATTCCGTCGGAGGCAATCAAGGAGGTCGGTGAGAAAGTTGTCGTCGGTGTCATCATGGACAATGCGACTGTGTGTGCAAGAGCGGGCAGGCTGGTGGAGGACACATTTCCCACCATCTTTCATGTACCATGCGCAGCGCATTGCCTGGACCTCATGCTGCACGACATTGGGCGGACAGATTGGGTGAAGGAGGTTGTGGGAAAGGGCAATGACTTGGTGAAGTTCTTCATGAACCACCAACGCGTATGTGACATCTTCTACGTGCACTCCGGCGGGAGGCAGTTGTTGCGACCTGCTGCAACACGGTTCGCTACAAATTTTCATATGCTCGACCGCTTAAAAAAGCAACGCAATGCACTGGTTGCCACGGTCAGTCATGATGCTCGCCGGAAGCCGACCGTGGTACCTCATGCGCAGCGCGACACATTCTACGAGATGGAGGAGATCATCCTTGATGGAGCGGGCTCTTGGGAGGGCGTCAACAAAGTCATCGCCGCTGTTTATGACATTGTCCTGCTGCTAAAGGTGGTGGATGGCACTGGACCCACTGTCAGCAAAGTGTATGCGAAGATGGATAAGGCGGTGGAAAGATTGCGGGCCAATTCAAAATTGAAAAAGGATGAGCGGGAGGACATCGAGGAAATGGTCATGCGTCGATGGAATGCCATGACCACACCGCTGCATTGTGCAGCATTATTCTTGGATCCGGAGTACCGCTCGTACGAGCCACAAAACGACCCGCAGATCCAAGACGGCTTAACGTGGTTGTATACGTGGTTGAGGGGACGGTCGCAGGAAGTGATAGACCAGGTGGAATATGAGGTGGATTGTTGGGTGCAGAACATTGGGAAGTTTTCCACGGAGAAGGCGATGGAAGCGGCACGGAAGCAGAACCCTGCAACATGGTGGCTTCGGTGGTGTATCGAGTTACGGTACTTGCAGCCACATGCCATTCGCCTTCTTGGCCAGGGATCATCTGCCTCGGGTTGCGAGAGAAATTGGAGTCTCGTCGAGGCGATCCACACGCGCCCACGTAACGGCTTGGCCCCCGAAACAATGCAGAAACTCGTGTACTGCAGGTGGAATATGTACCTGCTTGACACCTCGCAGCAGATACCCGAGATGGGTCACGATGTGATTGACGCAAGGGCTTCAAAAAAAAAAAAAAAAAAAAAAAAAAAACATAAAAAAAAAGAGTGTTTGGTGGGACTACCTTCTGTGCGTTCTCAAGATTTTTGAAGGAAAAACTGGGGTGTTATGTTTTCCTATGATTAAAAACCAGAGAGGCGACGTGAATGGGAAGTTGGTTTTTCAGAATATTCAAGATTTTGTGTCGTATTCGGCAAGACAACAAAAGATGGCGGTTATCAGTGCTTTCCTTCATCGGACGAAGACGTATTCTTCAGTGGAAGGCATGGCTTTTCCTCTACTTTTTCCCCTCAAGTGTGAATTATGGAAGAAGGGGTATCCTGATGACTTCTTTGACTGTGCCTTCGTGAAATTTTCAAAGAAGTATTCTGGACTGTGGAACGACTGGGTGCCGATCCTTGCTGGATGGGCCCGCTCTCTGGGTAAAAAGACGGGTCTATGAGGTACCCTGGTTTAGGGGGGGGGGGGGG